ACGCACCAATTAAGGAAGGATAATCGCCGCTATAGGACATAGCCCGGGGTTATCAAGAGAAGAACCGGTGCCGGGAAAGAAGAGAAAAGCTGTTAATAATGAAATCTCGGCTAAAATCAATCTTACACGCCTCGACTTACCTTTTATAACTCCAACTTTGGACCGGGCAAGCAACTGACTCGCCGTTTTCCGGCCCAACAATATAACTATCAATATAGATAAAGAGAAAAAAGAAGTCATTTTTGCTTCCACTCAAAGATAGACAAATAGATAATTTTCATAATACTATTTGATTATCTGAAGTAAATGGTAATTTAAAAAATTTAAATCATTAAATATTTTCTAAATAATAAAATTTAATAATATATTAATTTGTAATAATTTATTATATTATAAAATAAAATGATTTGCAATATTATAATAATGAAATGATTTGTAATAATTATAATATAATAATAATAATAAAATTAAATTAAAAAAATAGTTAATTTTAATAATTTTAAAAAATATATAAATATTAAAATATTTTTATATTATATTATTTTTTTTATTGTAAATAAACATTAAATACAAAACATTTATTAAACTTTAGTTTATTATCATTATATTAAAAATCCTATATCACTCATTTGTAGAAGTTAATTCTAGTCTATTACATTTAGAATCTTTAATTTGTTAAAACACCAAGTAGATAAAAATAATCTATTAGTAATTTATAAATAACTAATATCTATTTATAAATAATTAAGTTATTATAATTGTTAATAAAAAATTTAATTATTAAAATTAGTAAGATAAAAATAATTGATTTGGATTTTGGTTTTGCTATCTGAACCTGTAAAACTATAATAACAGTTTTGATTCATTATTATATTTATAATAGGATTTTAATATTGTTGTTTAGTCTTATAAAATTATATAACAATTGTTTAAATATTGAATAAGATATATAAAAAGTTCAGTATTTTTATATAATTGTGATATTGTTATTGGAAATAACTTAATTAAAAAAATTTTTGAGATAATTTTATTATATATTATTATTATTGTTATTATAAACAGGTTTATATCAATTTGATTATTATAGGATTAAAGTATTGAGATTTGATTGAATGTTAGGTTGTATTGATTGTTTGAGAAAATAGAACTGATTTTGATTTTTTGTGTTTTGAAAAATTTTATATATTTTGAAGTGATACAGTATTATATATTATTAAGAAAATGATTAAAAAGATTTGATTAATATAAGAAAGTGATTCAAATAATTTTGTTTGAGTAGAACTTTAAGAATAAATTTATTATATTGAGAATTAATATAAGAATAGTATTGATAATTTTTTAAAAAAGAAAATATAAAAACAAAGTTAAAAAAGAAAATTATTATAGGTCTTTTTCTATATACCTAAAAAATAAACAAGACTTTCAAACTTGTATGACCTATAATCAAAAGTTTTATTTTAATATAACAATAGTTTTTAAAGTCTTTATATCCTTAAGTTTATGGTATAATTGATATATAGAAGAAAGAGTAAAAAGTATATCTTCAAAGAAAATTTTAAAAAAATTAATAATAAATAAAAAAGAGTTTTTTTTTATTATTTATATTTTTATTATTTAAAATTTAAAATTTAATATTATATCAAAATAAAAATTTAATTTAATAAATTAAATTCTTTAATTTCAAAGTATAATTTAAATTTATCTATTAATATTATTACTTTTATTATTATAATTATATATATATATATTTTATTGTAAATAAGTATTAGATATGAAATATTTATTAAACTTTTGTTTTTTATTATTATATTAAATTACTTTTTTATAGAAATTAATTCTAGCCTATTATATATATAACCTCTAATTAATTAAAATATCAAATAGATAAAAACAAACTATTAGTAGTTCATGAATAGCTAATGCCTATTTATAAATAACTAAATTATTGTAATTATTAATAAAATTTTTTTTAAGTTAAATATAATTATTGAAACTGTTAAAATAAAAAATAATTGGTTTTGATTTTGATTTTGCTTTTTAGATCCACAAATTATAAGGACAACTTTGATTTGTTATTGTATTATTAATAAAATTTTAATATTGTTACTTAAATTCATAAAACTATAAGGAAATTGATTAAGAATTAAATAAAATATATGAAAAGTTCAGTATTTTTATATAACTGTAATATTGTTATTGTTAGGAATAACTTGATTGTAAAAATTTTATAAATTTTATTGTAAATTGATATTATTGTTATTATAAACAAGTTTATATCAGTTTGGTTGCTATGGGGCTAAAGTTTTGATATTTAATTGGATATTAAATTTGTATTGATTGTTTGAAGAGATAGAATTAATTTTAATTTTTTGTATTAAAAAAAATTTTGTAGATTTTGAAATAACACAACATTATATATTATTAAAAAAGTGGTTAAAAAGATTTGATTAAAACAAGCATGAGATCAAGTAACTTTGCTTGAGTATAATTTTAAAAATAGATTTGTGATATTAAGAGTTAATATAAAAATAGTATTAATAGTTTTTAAAATAAGAAAACATAAAACAAAATTAAAAAGGAGAATTAAATAAAACTTCCAAACTTATTTAATCTTTAATCAAAAATCTCATTTCAATACAACAGTAATCTTTAAAGTACTTATGTTCTTAAACTTATGATATAATTAATATAATCAATGATGAATGGGTGAAAGTTTTTTTTTATACTTAAAATTTATTACAGTTTAATATATAAAATAACTTAGCGTGTTTAATCCCGGAGCATAGCCCGGGCTAATGAGCTAGTTACCCATATGTGAAAAATTGATTATGCGGTAAATTACACGGGTTACACGATCAGGTTTTATTACTGAAAACGGATGACTCCTAAGCGGAGTTTAATAATAAATAGATCAGTTACGCACTTTTTTCACTGAAACATTTTTTTTTACTTTCAAACACGAACACGCTAATGTTATCTGGTACCGCAGAAATCATGGTATTTAAAATTTTGAATAATACAATTTTATAATATATATTTTTTAATGAGTTTTCAGATCTTTTGCGTCGTTTTAGGTGATGCCATTAAGAATTCTTTCCCGGTTGATGTTCGTAAAGACACGACCATTGGGCACCTCAAAAAATTGATCAAGGAGGAGAAAGAACACCATTTTAACCATATCTCCGCAGATGAACTGGATGTATGGAAAGTTAGTATTCCTCAAAACAAAGAAAACCAGAAAATGAAAATACCTGTCGAAATTAACATTAAAGAAGAATTTGGAGGTGAAGAGTTACATTCATTCGAATTTATAAACGACCATTTTGATAAATCTAGTAATTACATCCAAATCATCGTGCAACCACCACTTGGTAAGTGTCTTCCGATGTTTTAACTCTCGAACAATAAATTTTCAGTAACAAAATATCTTATTTCTTTCTTTTTCCAGCACGAATCCTGCCTGAATCATTAAAATATTGTGATCCCCATCCTCTTCTCACGGGTAGGGGTTCCTCTTGGGACTTTCAAGCCTCGGAAGCTTTGAAACAGGAACTTAAGATAGCTATTCAGGATCATTTTGAATATTGGAAGGCTGGACTACGTGATAAAACAACAATACCACAATACTTCATTCTAGCAGGAGCTGGAGAAGGAAAATCTCGCACTGCACAAGAATTGCCGAAATTGCTAATTGAATGTACAAATGATGTTGACTTACAGAATCGACTTAAGTCTGCTCTAGTATTTAATCTATCATTTGAAAATGGAACAAAATTAATTCGAGTGTTAGAAACTGATAGCTCTCATGCAATTGGTAATCGAATGCTCTTTCAGTTATTACGACAGCCTGGTGAAGTTTGGGAAGATTATAAGGGTCGATATAATGTAAACCCAGTAGATGTATTACGTAGAGTTGCTAAATATCGTAATCAAGAATTAAATGATCTGAATGTGATTGTTATTTTGGATGGTATACATATAGCAATGAAAAAATCTATGGATGGAACGGACAAAGAATCCTTTTTTTACGATTGTATCTCTACACTTTGTATGCTTTCACTTATTGGCCCATTTATTGTTACCTGTTGTACAGCTACTATTAGCATACCCATTCACAATTTCCTTGCCAGTTCACAACAATTGAGAGTTTTTCTTCCATTGACATCATTACAACCTCCGAGAATAAACAACAATCCAGTCTTTGTCGATAATCCAGTTATGAAGATGCTCATAAATGATATGGGTGGTCATGGGCGTGCGTTGGAGGCTTTAGAACAGTCAATTAGAGGAAAAGATTTGGACAATATTAATTTTATTGATCTAATAAATGATGTACGATCAAATCTTGGTAAAAAATATCAAGGATGGTTAAGTAAAACCGATTATTTGAAACCAGTCCTTCGCATTATTCTTTCACGTACTCAAGTTAGCAAAAATCAAAATATTGCTACATTTGCGGGGAAAGATATAACAGTAGATGATGTAACGCAATTTGGTCTTGTTCGATTTAAGAGTCGAAGAGCGGATGAAGTGATTGGCTATCTTACATGTCCATATATTTGGCTATGGTTAATGGCGCATGCATCACAAAATGACAAACTTTTACACAACTGGGATTTTAACTATTACAATGAAGTACGCAATAAAGCAGGGAGCATAAGTATACCACCAGGTTGCCAATACTGGCAAAATTTTGAGTATTTTATTGCTCAATTTCGTGCTCTAAAATCGTATGTCTATGGTGATAATGAACAAGTTGAACTCAGAGTCATTCATAATGGTGCCAAGCATAATTTTGGTGATAGTTCCATATACAATCGAGAACTTACATTAAAACAATCAGTTAAAAAGGTCAGCACCATGTCTGGAAATTATAAGCAAGGTGTAAAAATTTTGTGTCAGGATGAAGAAGTTGACGTTGCAAAAGCAAGACATATTATAATCAATGCATCTAATGCTGAATATGGAGATAGCTTTTGTTCGATAAAAATGGTGGGGACTGAACTACTACAAACGGAAACACACCAATGCAAATTGGTAAAACAAACAATTTCTCAGGAAAGATTTAATGATGAGTATAAAAAAGCAACGAGTCCAGGAGATATTTTCATTCTTTACACATCAGCATCCTCCAAAAAACTTGTACCTTCTCAGCCAATGTCTGCAATCGTTTGTAAAGACAATTGGGAAGAATATTTCGGATCTTTTGCTGGGAGATGCTATAATTATGCTATGGAACCACCAAATCTTAATGAAGCGACTTACACTCAGCTGACTGGAATAAATTTCATTGGAGAAGCACGTGCTAGAATTATCATGGAAGAACGAAACAAACGCAAATTTTCTGGTATAGACGATTGTGAAAGAAGAACAAAAATTCCGCGTACATATCTTGAACCCTTTTTTTAGGTTGTTATTTTCTCGAATATTGCTATTTTCCTTATTAGCAACTTAAATGTTCAAAATATAAATAAAATTTGTTAATGTGCTTCTATAAATCAATTCCAACACAAAAATTTTATTCTCATATACGTACATGTATATGCTATCAATTTTCCGCAAAATGTTATAAAATTAGCAGGGATATGGATAAAATCAATACTAACATCATTTAAAGGAGAAATTTCAGAAAATACTTCGTATATAACCATCCTGAATGAATAAATATCTGCAGCTTTGTATGTGTCTTATTACGCAAAACTTCAGGCGCTACATAAGGAAGAACTCTGTATAGTTCATCATCTCTCTCTTTAGAATTAGTTGGTTTACATAAACCTGAATCTGTTATGTAAACTTCATTATTTTTAGAAAATAAAATATTTCCAAGATGAAAATCCAGATGAACTAATCCAGCTTCGTGGATTTTGTATAATCCAAGTGCAGCATAGGATAAACACCTAAACTTCATTTCCCATGACATCACTGGAATCGTCTTCGTATGATCAACAAGTTTCATAACAATCATGAATTTTGATTCATTGTCCTTAGTGATTCCATAACATGGAGTAATTTGAGATTTGTTTTCGTTTAAGTTAAGAAGACTTTTTACTTAGATTTAGAGTTAAATTTATTATCAGAAATTAATTTATATGAACTTTCTAAATGATGTATTAATAAATACTTAATATATTGCGAGATACGAAAGACATAAATTTCATTTCATTAATAATTTGATTACTACCTCTTCCAAATATTCCTTAGATATATTTTGAGAGTTTTTTAAACATTTTAGTGCAACTTTTTTTTCACCGGATCTCTTCCATCTACCATATTTGGTCCAAAATAAGATATTTCCTTCCCTCATTCTGCCGAATAAACTGTAGCAAAACCACCCTCAACAATCTTTTTGATATTATAGAATTCTTCGTATGGAATCCATTCAAGTTCTTATGTCTACTTGTTGCTTCTAATTGTGATTTTTGTATGAAATGATCTGCATCTTTATTTCCACTTATCCATTTACCAAAATTTTTTTAAAACAAAAGGAATTGCAAGAATAACACTATAAAAAAATTGATTTTTTTTTACAATTTCGGCATGTTCCTAAGTAATTGAAATTGAATTAAATTATGCCAATCACTCAAGAGTAATAAGCTGATGACAAACATTGATAAAATGGCTAAACTGGACAAGATTACCTATTTTGTGGATGGATTGAAGCCTGCCACCAAAATGGAAGTTAACTACTGTGTACCTGAAACTTTTGAGGAAGCTTGGAAGCTTACTATCCGTTATGACTCTGCCATGTTTGGAATAAAATGCAATTTAATTAAAACAATATTGATAAAATAGGTTTACCGTCTGTAATCATTGTTAAAGTAAAGAATATAACTCAGATCACTAGATTATATAATTATCTTTGAACTTATTACTGAATACCATTGTATCATTTAATAGGTCTTCAAATTCTTCTTTATAAGAAATAATCATGATAAGCTTATCAATCTTCTGCTAGATATCAATCAACAATCAAAAAACAAAGCCTTATATAACTATTTTTATCAAAATAAAAGCAAAAGATAAAGGTTTCCTCAGATTTAACAGAACCATAAAACTTAAAGAAAATTATCAAAAAGAGTATAAAAAACTTGAAAACAGATTTCAAAGAATCTATAAAGGAAAATACAAAGATACAGAGCTCAATAAAGAAATAAAATTCAAAATTAAACTTTTTCTAAATACTAGTCTATTCATTACTTACTTAAAATACATCAATATATTCAACCTTAATCTATATCTCTTAGCATAAATTATAAAGTATGACTACAATTATCTATACTATTTTAAGGAGAGCAACAAATTAAATTATTATGATTTCCTTCAAAAATACAAAAAAAATGGTTTAAGATAACTTGTTAAAACTACTTTTATTTTCAAACTTAATTCCTTTACAAATAAAGGTCAAAATTTCTCATATAATTTCTATTATTGACAGAAGCACTATTCAAGCATGGCAGAATTACTTCACTCCTTTTATAAATTCAACATCCTTTCTGACTCATACTTTACAACACTCCCAAACCTATCAAATTATTTACAAAACCTTCCTAAAAAAATCTTTCATCTCTTTTCAATTAAAAAGAAAAAAGACTTCAGGAACCTGGGGAACATAATTAAAGAACTAAAAAGATTCTTTATCATTCTTTTCAAATCTTTCCAACATACTTTAATCTCTTGCCACCTAAAATTCCCCTTTCACGAGTTAGCTAAATTTTGATTTCCAATTCATTAGTTGATATAATTAGTTCACTAACCATAATAGTTTGTCCAACATGAATATTGTTTTACATTTAAATTTATAATGAAGCTAAGAATTAGTTACTTAGGATTTTCAACACAGATGTGCTGACTTGCATTGAGTCATAAGTGGATTCATTTCACTGGTTATTGTGATTGACACATAAGCGACAATTTTCATGTTCACTAATATTACATATCATATTATGTAATCTAGAGCTGGAGTCTATAAAAATTGAAATGTGTTAGGTTCAAGTTTTTAGTGAGACCTATTAGTTTTATATATTTTAGCGCAGGCTTATTCATGTCAAAAAGAAAAATAAATTATAGCTATGCTAGTTTCATTATTAATTAGGCTCGTATTAACAATCTAATCAATTGATAATCGTAACACAATTACTAGTCTCTTGGAAAAAAATTATTCTATAAACTCCGATGGATAAAGATAGGTTCCTAAATTATTTATGAGAACATAATTCAAATGTCCCTTATTATTTTTATTTTTTTTTTTTCACCTAATCAGGCTGTAATTACTTATGTTTATTTAATCTTGTGAAAGAAAACGTAATTGTTTACAGGCACCTATTTA